ATACCTCCTTCCTCCTCCTATTTTCCCCCACAACAATAACCCTGTGAGGTGAGTTGGGCTGAGAGAGAGAGAGTGACTGGCCCAAAGTCACCGAACCAGCTTTCACACCTAAGGTGGGACTAGAACTCACAGTCTCCTGGATTCTAGCCTGGTGCCTTAACCACTAGACCAAACTGGCTATTTTTTTTTTCATTCATTTTTGTCAAGTAAGTTGGCCTTTTGTAATGAGATGGGTAAAACCATGCTCTTAATTTTGGTTACAAAAAGTATCTCCCCTCTACTCCAGTTTTATGTCTGAATTGGTCAATCATGTACATAGCCAGTATACTTGTCTCTGTTGTTTAACTTTGACGCTTGACACTGTCTTTATTTTATCCTAATAGTGTGTAGCAGTACTGATATTAACTGAAAGGAAGACATGAATGAGGAGCAGCAAGAAAAATGAACAAATATTTTTTTGCCATAGTTTTATTACAATAAATAAAATTCATTGGCATAAATGATCCATTTTTGTCATTGTTATCCAAAAAGAAATCTATTTTGCCAAAAAAATCCATAAAGTCTTGTGGTAGTCTTGGGCATCATGTTCTTTAAAATCTGGTATGATTGAAGAGATGGGGAAAATGTTCATTGAATTAAAGTGATATGAATTGGCTCACTGCTAAAATGTTGTTCTGTACTTTGGGTAGTTACAACAATTATTACGTTCAGTGTTATTTCATTTGACATCTTTTGAAAAACTGTATCCGTTCGGGCTATTAATAGAGTTCCAAGAAATTACAGCTGTCATGCTGCCAATTACATAAATTTACACATGTCAGGACTGCTGTTCATATTGGCAGTTACCCATATTTACTGCAAGTGATATTGGGAGAGGGAACACACAGTTGAATAAGTTTAGAACAGATACTTCAAATCATTTTATACAAAAGGAAGTTTCCTCCCAGTTCATTTCCTATGGTCTGGAAAAGAACACGCAGCTAGTTTGATAAAATATAAACTAGAATGGCATTCACCAACCTTCTGTCTTCTAGGTGGTTTGGGGTGACAATTCCCAATATTCCAGGTCAGTAGAAACAAGTTGGAGAGGTTGACTAAGAATATTTCTGGGAAAAAGCAAAGGGAGAGAATGCGTACTAAATTACAATAGTAAACTCTATAAAGAATAATTTAGAAAAAAACGGCAAATAAGGAGATAGGGTTTTTTCCCTCCAAAGGCTATTTCTCTAAGAACACTTGTTTTTTTTTCCTTTTTTCTTCATCTATGCAAAAACTCTACCAGGTGCCCATTTTGTAACTTGATTTTTTCTCTCATATCTCCTGCAGCAAATAGGTTAAAAACAGCACTGCACCCTTCTCTTTCTCACTCTGACTGTAGCTATAATAAATGAGACATAATTAAATTGCTTTTAAAACTGTCTACCCAGTCCCTTTTTCATCTATACATCTGCATAGCTTTCTTGCCTTGCTCTTTTGTGATCTTGTGTCTATTTTCAGCTTTTATTATTGCATGGATTATTTTATTGTGTTTCTTGCTGCTATGCCAGGTGTACCAAACAAACTAAATACTGCTTAGCCATCAGTGTTTTAGGAGCCTTACACGATAGGTTGGCTGATAACTTTACAAGGATGTAACCAGACTTAGGAAGACAGCGCACAACATTTCTTTACATTTTGATGCATATTTAAAATTCTTACTGCTATTCAGTCCTTGTCTATTCTTTGTATGATCAAACCAATACAGTGGAACCTCAGGTTACGAACGCTTCTGTTAACGAACTTTTTGGGTTACGACCAACTCCAGCCGCAAAATTTTGCCTCAGTTTGCAAACTCCGTCTCGGGATACGAACAGGATACGCGGCCATTTTCCCTCCCATGACACGGTCCGCGGCCGTTTTTCCGCCCCTGACACATGGTCCATGGCCATTTTTCCGCCCCTGACACGTGGTCCGTGGACATTTTCTGCCCCTGACACGTGGTCATAGGGAGGGGGACTCTCCCTCCAAGCAATAGCCGC